GCTAGGTATGGATATAAAGAGACAGATGCGAGTGTGGGGTGGGAGAACAAGAACAGTGGGGGAAGAGAGCGAATCAGGGAGCCCGTGAGCGAAGGGAGAGACTGAGCAACATTAGAGATGGTTTATWGTGAGAGCAGAGAAGTAGGTGAAGCGGGAAGGTCACCAAGAAGAATAGGAGGGGCGTGGGCACTTATCTTCGGGCAGTCGTGTCTCAGCGGACACCGGAGTGTCGTTCTGTTGGTAAGTGACCGCGCGAAGCAACAGGCGGCCTGGACAACCAATCAAGCAAACAAGATTCCGGTAATTAGAACGAGGCAAAAAGGAGCTTCGTGTCTTCATAAGAGCTAACTTGCTAGGTACGTATATAAAGAGACAGATGCGAGTGTGGGGCGGGAGAATCGAGAAGTTGGGGAAGAGAGAGCGAATCAGGGAGCCCGTGAGCGAAGGGAGAGACTGAGCAACATTAGAGATGGTTTAAAGTGGGAGCAGAGAAGTAGGTGAAGCGGGAGGGTCACTAAGAAGAATAGGAGGGGCGTGGGCACTTATCTTTGGGTAGTCGTGTCTCAGCAAACACCGGAGTGTCGTCATGTTGGTAAGTGACCGCGCGGAGCAACAGGCGGTAGCGGAAGGCCGACAGAAAGCGTAGTAGTCGGCGCTTGTCCAGCAATCTCCCGAGTGCGAAGAATGAGAGGACAGGTAAAGCAGATCAATCAAATATAAATACGAAACTGGCGCGTCCGTCGGCCCCGCCCATCCAGACAGACAGTGTAAAGGAACTGGACCCGGTATTGGGCTGAGGAAAGTGAAACGGGTCCGTGGGCGAAACTCAGATAGTACAGAAGGGAGAGACGTCGCAGATAGCGACCCCATCGGAGTCTACTCGTGAACAGGTGACTGGCGGCTCTGAAAATTCAAGAAATATGGGGTAGGATGTGAAAATCTCCCCTTGGCGATGCAATTTTAGAGGCCTGTTGCGAAACAATAGAGTTCCCTTGTCAAATTATCCCACCCAGTAAAACAGAGCACCCAATCTTGCCAGCATCCTAAAAATTTTGCCGAAAAACCCACCAAAGCTTTGTCAAACATGCGATTCTGATATTCCCCGAGTCCGAGCTCCTTTTTGAAGGTGATTAAGAAGAGTGCTTCAGCGGCCGACATAGTTGCGAAGGTTCTAGCTCGATGAAAGAACGAACTGATAACTGCAACCTTTTGCTGCTTGCTGGAGAATGAGCAATAGTCCTGTATTGCTTGGTACAACATGTTTCATGTGTCGATCAAGTGCCCCTGGTTTCGGTGCGAAGGAAAACAAAGGACCCCAATAGGTGGGGGGACACTTGTATTTGACAACCCAAGAATTCCCATCTTTCACCGGAGTTGGTCTGTTCAATAGTTAGATTGGAGTTGTAGCATGTAGCGAATCGTTGCATGAGCCTGACAGCCTTACGTCTCGATTGCTCCGAGTGAGTGGAGTATAGCACAAAGACGGATACGTCGTCAACCAACCTTACTCCTTGGAAAAGAGCTCTGTCTTTCCCGAGCGATTGCAGGAAATTCATCTCATTGTACATGCATAAGACTGCGCCTAGCGCGGGACTGGACGATTTGCCCATAGGTACTCCGATAGTTTGTTGAAACAAAACTCTCATAGCACTGACATATGTGTGTTGTAGATCAAACCTGAGAAACTCCTCAATGTCTGCTAGAGTGACTCGTCTCCATCCTACCATAGAGCGGGCATTGGATAACTTCGCTCCTTTCCCTCTTCTCTTGATCCACACACAGTCATACCCTTGCAACTGATAATAACATACGAACCACCTAAACGCTTCTAGAATAGATGAATGAGGGAGCTTGGTAAACATTTCTTTCACGTCAAAACTGGAGCAGAGTAGCCGATGATCAGAAGCAAGAGAGTCATTTATCTTGGTGAGTGTCGGAACCAGGTCCATAGTGCTAAAGGGATTGAAGTGGAGTGTTTGCGGAAGGGCCTTGATGAGCACATTGATACAAGAAGTAACTTTCTTGCATGCTACTACTGCAGGCTCAGTCGTGGTGGGGCAGATGGGTCGCCATTTGGTGACGTCCTTATGTTTGGGTATGGCGTACCCTTTTCCTATTCTTCCGTTGGGATTCCAACCACTGATTTCGTCTAAGGCTAGATCTAGGAACGTACTTTGACAGTCCTTCAATATCAAGGACTCTTCCTGGTTTATGACCGAAAATCCAGGATTGTGCAAAAACAGGGTATCCATCCCGTCTTTATAGAACCGGGGGCAACAGAACAGTGTATCCCCTGGGTTATGATCCATTGTGGTTAACACCAAACCGTCCAGATTCATTTTCCAAAGGAGCACGTTTTCGAATGTGAAGGGTAGGTTAGACAGGGAGTGGATGAACATGGCAACGGAAGTTTTGGGAAAAAAGTAGGAAGTTATGGAGTAGCCGATGCAGCCAGTGGAGGGGAAATGAAACAAGATAGAAGAGTAGAGTGAGGGATAGCAATAAGATAGGAAGAGGGTATGAGGGGAACATCCGAAAAGCCACGGAGGATTTGAGTTCTGAGAAATTGGCAATTATAGGATTTAGAAGGAGCCGGAATATTGCATGAGTTTTTCATCCAGTGTGGCAGAAACGGTGCGTCTTTCGCCCAAAAAGCTATGTGTCCATTTATCTCGTTGGGCACAGCTCCCATATCATTCGGGCGATTGAAATCTTCAAGTCCCATGCAACTGAACCTACCATGGACGATGCCACAAACACAATCCACCTTTTTTCTGTGAGAAAAGTCCCCGAAATTGTGAAGGGAATGAGCAATACTGTCGTTCCTTATCCAGACAACCCGCATTCTTCTGGAAAGCATCTCGGCCAAAGGTGCAGCGATAGGTAGTCCCTTGATCAGTACAGATCATAGAGTCCGGATAGCAGGCTTGGACAAATTCTCCGAGTACTTAATCTGAAACACCAGACGCATGCAAGGACAAAACCCAAATTTCCTATGTACTACACCTGAAATAATCATACGCAAAGACTATCTCGTGTCCTTCCTAGAGAAGCATCTAACAACATTGTAGGCGAAAATTAGGTTGTCCAACGTCCAGGTCACCAATAACTTACGTTCAAACGGATGACTAAGTAACCTGACGGGAGGGAATTTGAGTGCTTCCGATCTTGAGCAAAATTTCATGATACAGAGAATATGAAATATGTGAGGGGATTCTACCCATGCTCTACAACGCTTCAACTGGTCCCTTCCGTATCTGCAACTGATAACAGAAGCCCCAAATACACGTTTAATTACTTTCCAATAATCAGACATAACTGCACCACCTTTGTTTACAACTGACAAGGACGAGATCTTTCTTCGGGTACATTCATGCAAAATCTGGAGGAGGGAAATGGAGGATAGACCTACCGACGTATTGAAGCAGGCAATTCTGTCATTTTTAGTTTCCAGCCCAGAAACCTGAACGCACGGAGTTACAGCATTACTTCTAGTAGCCCGTTTCCTTCTTTCCCTTTTTCCTGGCCTCGATTTCCTGTTTTTACGTTTCTTCTTCCCTACCGGCCTAGTATTAAGGTAAGGTGAAGTATAACCTATGATTTGTTTCTATGCAATCAGTAAGTTTGGTTTCGAGAACACACAAAGAGGGAGGGCTACATACTGCTGGCGTCCAATTCTGCGTAACCAGGAGTACAGCCTGTGATTACGAACTTCACTACGATGTACGTCTAGGCTAAACAGACAATTAACATGCTCTGTCCACCTAACATTGAGATTTCTAGTCGTGCACCCTACGTAGTACTGCTTAACAAAAGGGGAAACAATACAATAGACGAGAGGACCAGGAGCAGTAAGGAAATCATAGCCAGACTCCAGCAGATGAGAAATCTGTGTTCTAAACTTGAGACACAAAGGAACCTGTCGCTTAATAATCAATGCAACATAGATTAGTCGATACAAGAAATTTAGATCGATATGGTTAAGGCCGTTTTTCTGGCTGCGAAGGAGTGAACATTCCCTTGCCAGCTTCCACAGTTTTTCATCGCTTGGGCCGAGCCCCTATTCGTCCCCCAGTTGCTCCTCATCATCGGCTACATCAACATGCTGCGTGGCGTCGACGTCCGACGTCTCGTTGTCTGCTTCACGTGCTTCTTCCACATCTGATTCATGGTGAGCGCGAGCTGCGGCGCCAGTCTTAGGTGGTTGCCGGAAATCGAAAACCAGCGACACCCGCAGTTCTGAGATTTCGTTGATAGCCTGTTCACATGTCACAAACGTTATACCCTCCTTGTTGCATAACATTTGCAGCCCGTTCTTCTTCAATCTCTTCAGGTACTTCCTCATTTCCTTGACGAACTCCGCTCGTTCCGCCAGTGCCGCCTTAACTGCCAATCTTCCAGACGTCCTCTTAGGTGGAGATGGTCGAACGGTTAAGTCATCTAAACCCTCCTCTGGCTGGCCTAAGTTCTCCAAGTCATCGTCGTCTGTGGCCTTGTTCAGGCGCTTTGAGAGATTGGATCTTGGAGTACGCCCCTGCCTAACCAGCCTTGCGACAGCCTTCTCAAACCTTTCTTTGATGGCCTGCACCTCCAGATCAGCAATGCGTTGTAGGCCTTGAGAAGTTTGTCGAAGTCATTCTGCGTAGGAGTAGAAATTCCCACAGCCCGTGGTCTACCTCTAGGTGGCGCTTCAGGTGGACTGTTGATGCACACTCCTGTTCTAGATCTCTTCATACCGACATTCCTAGAGGAACGAGTAAGTTCCTCCATCTGCTTCTTGATGAGTTCGTACTCCCGCCTTAACAGCTCGATTTGTTTCTCCAGCCTCTCCTTGTCCACATCCAAGCTGGGGCGGACTGCTCTATTGGAGAAAGTCCGCGCACCCTCGCCTATCCCTCCAATCCTCGCGCCTTCCGATCTGCCAAGGAACAGGTCGCACGCGTTATTTATCTTCATCCCGACCATCGTGCTGATCCGATCATCGAACTCCTGTCTCTCTTTGAGTTTCCTTGACGCCTTCTCCTCGGCTTCTCTAGCCTTTCGTCGTTCTTCTTCTTCCTTCACTTGTTTCTCCTTCTCCTGAATGACCTCCTGTCTTGCTTCAAGCTCTGAAGCCATAAACTCATAAACCTTGTCAAGCTTGTCTTCGTTGAGCTTCCACCAAGACTGCCTTGGTACCAGAGCTTGACCTCCCGAGGAACTGGGGGATTGAGATGTAGCGATGGGTGGGGGTAGATCGAGGAGAGGAATCTGAGAAGGAGCAGTGGTGTGTGTAGATGGGTGTGCGGAGTGGGTAGGTGGTGCATAGCGGTTCCGATGGGGGTAGGGACACTCTCTGGAGAAATGGCCAGGTTGGTCACAATTATAACAGAGCAAAGGGGTAGCCATTATAGTCAGTGTAGGATGCCGACAGCAAGAACTGGGAGGGGGTAGAGAGACGTCTAACAACAGGAAACAGTTTAGTAAATCCGTTGAAATGAAGGGATGTGGCGAGGAAAGATGAATAGTGGTGCGACTGGAGTAGAAGCCCTAGAAGAGTAAGCGCTGAAATTTTAGGAAGCGAAGGAGCGGGAACAATAGTGTTACGGAGCAAGAAAGCCAGAAGCAGACTCTCAAGAGAGTAATCGGAAATGAGCAAACAAGAAGCAGCAAGGATGTGGGGCGAGGAAGAGAAAGGAGGAAGCGACAACAGGGAACGACAAATGGGAAGCTACGAATTAGAACAAACATACGAGTGAGTAATCGTACTAAGCAACCACATGTCAGTAGTGCAATTTCTACTAAGGTTATTGCTTGAGTCGAAGGTTTAGCTATTGCAATAAGCTAATTAGTACAGGGTAAATAGGTTAGTGAGACTAACCATGATGTTTATGTTGTCTTCTGTGATTGGGATCATCGCGTTTACAACGAGCGACTGCATCACGAAAGGTTCCAACCGAGATTTCCAGAAAAATGCGGAGCACTCTAACCCAAAACACAATGAAATCCAAGGTCCACAAAGCCCAGTACAACCAATTCATGATTACAGGAATGAGACTTCGTATCAGCAATTAATCAATAGATGGTGGGGTGAGAGGGGAGAGGAGAAGGGAGAGGGGGATAGCACGGTGATGCAGAGGTGGTGAGAAAGAGACAGAACAAGGGTCGATGAAGGTGAGGAGAAGAGAGATGGGTGAGAGGAGGTGACAAGGTATAAGTATCGAATTCGACGAACGAAATACACAGAGCCCAAGCGATAAATTATCGAATATTACATGAAGCACATTACACCACTCCATGGGGAATGAAGTATATCAGGCGCACTAGCGCGAGAATACATCCTATTCTTCCCAGGAGAAGCATGAATCGGCCACACCCGACATGTTTCGACCGGTGCCGATGACCAGTTATCATCAGGGGCATCGCGAGGTACTGAGTGTGCATTTGCCAATTCGAACCTAGTTTAAATAGAAAGAGCCCGGAGTTCATCACAGTAGTGAGCAAGAGTGACTAGCGTGAGAAACTTGTCGAAGTTACCCGAAGCAGATGTGAAATTCCTAACTATAGTGTCGCAACGAATCTGAAGTGCCGGTCTTTACGAAATCCAGCTTAAACTATCCTGATAACCAAGATCTGTGCCGAAGCTATAAAGGAGAAGCGGTGAGGCCGAAGGAGAGGGAGAGGGAGAGRGAGAAAAGAGGAGGTGAGGGAGGGAGAAGGAAGTAGGTGRGTGGGAGGGGGAGAAAAGAGGCGGGGAGATAAGACGAAGGGGGTACAGCAAAAAAGTGAGTGAAGAGAGGAGGGCGGGAGCTGTCTCTTATACACATCTAGATGTGTATAAGAGACAGGCCTCGGTGAGTAGAAAAACCCGGTACAAAAGAGTCCTGTAGGAGCGTGATGAAGTAATAAAAATCCTTGATGATTTGCTTGTGAAGATGAGTCGCACAGCCGATGTAGTAGCAGACACAGATCCAAAATTTTCAACCCAAGTAAATCCTGGACAACCAATCAAGCAACGAGTAGGAGCGAGATGAACTAGCAACGAATCCTTGTTAACTTCTTCGTGACGATGTGGTAGCAGACCGTAAATCCGAAATTTTCAACCCAAGTAATTCCCGGACAACCAATCAAGCAAACGAGATTCCGGTAATTAGAACAAGGCAAATATGAGCTTCGTGACTTCATAAGAGATAACGTGCTAGGTATGGATATAAAGAGACAGATGCGAGTGTGGGGTGGGAGAACAAGAACAGTGGGGGAAGAGAGCGAATCAGGGAGCCCGTGAGCGAAGGAAGAGACTGAGCAACATTAGAGATGGTTTACAGTGAGAGCAGAGAAGTAGGTGAAGCGGGAAGGTCACCAAGAAGAATAGGAGGGGCGTGGGCACTTATCTTCGGGCAGTCGTGTCTCACCGGAGTGTCGTTCTGCTGGTAAGTGACCGCGCGAAGCAACAGGCGGCCTGGACAACCAATCAAGCAAACGAGATTCCGGTAATTAGAACGAGGCAAAAAGGAGCTTCGTGTCTTCATAAGAGATAACTTGCTCGGTATGTATATAAAAAGACAGATGCGAGTGTGGGGCGGGAGAATCGAGAAGTTGGGGAAGAGAGAGCGAATGAGGGAGCCCATGAGCGAAGGAAGAGACTAAGCAACATTAGAGATGGTTTAAAGTGGGAGCAGAGAAGTAGGTGAAGCGGGAGGGTCACTAAGAAGAATAGGAGGGGCGTGGGCACTTATCTTCGGGTGGTCGTGTCCCAGCAGACACCGGAGTGTCGTCATGTTGGTAAGTGACCGCGCGGAGCAACAGGCGGTAGCAGAAGGCCGACAGAAAGCGTAGTAGTCGGCACTTGTCCAGCAATCTGCCGAGTGCGAAGAATGAGAGGACAGGTAAAGCAGATCAATCAAATATAAATACGAAATTGGCGGGTCCGTCGGCCCCGCCCATCCAGAGGAACTGGACCCAGTGTTGGGCTGAGGAAAGTGAAACGGGTCCGTGGGCCAAACTCAGATAGTACAGAAGGGAGAGACGTCGCAGATAGCGACCCCATCCGAGTCTACGCGTGAACAGGTGACTGGCAGCTCTGAAAATTCAGGAAATATGGGGTAGGATGTGAAAATCTCCCCTCGRCGATCCAATTCTAGAGGCCTGTTGCGAAACAACCGAGTTCCCTTGTCAAATTATCCCACCTAGTAAAACAGAGCACCCAATCTTGCCAGCATCCTGAAAATTTTGCCAGCATCCTGAAAACAACTACCCGGACACTTTCACCCCAAACACATCTCCGACCTACGAAGCTGCACACCGACCCCCACTCACCACCGCTCACCCCCGACCCCTATTACCCGGCCACCCCACACCCCCACGGGCCCCATCCACAACCCCCC